TGAAATGTCGGGTCGGATCGCGAAATTGATGCGGGTATAATCATCCCGGTGATAAGACCCCAGTTGAGAGAGTCAAAGACATAAAGGGTCTTCTCTGAGGTCAATTGGTAATTAAGAGTGCTAATGCTATAAAAGGGATAGAAGGAGACGGGATATAGGTCATGGCTACGGAGTACACTGGATGCTAACGAAGCGTCTAGCCAGAGACACATGATACGAACAATACCGGGTAATGTAACACAGCCATTACTGTATCTGTGTTAATTCTCGGTTCCGGGCTCCTCCCCGTTTGTGCAAAGCTTTAAGGTATTTAGTGTTAGTTCCTCTTCAGCTCCTCATCTCCCATCGACTCGAGCATCTAGACATGTCAAGATAGCGTACAGGATATCAGTGGGAAGGAAAATGTCATGCACTTGCCAACAGAAACAGTTATGCGAAGCAGTAGGCGGCAGGTGGAAGAGGCCAGGAGGAGTCAGACCAGTAATTGAGCTAAGTCAATGTACGGAGTAGAAATCAGGAAATCAGCCGGTGGACGGCAAGCGACCGGGGGGAAAAGACACGGCTCTATGAACGCCGTCTCAAACACCCTGCAGCGATCTCAAAGTGGCATGCTAAAGGCAAACTCCAGATACATTTTGACACCGTTGTGTGCAGTTCGCCTTTTTTCTCTTGAGCAAACCACACACATAGCCTCCCTGAGGGTGTGATGCCGCAAGTGACTCGATCTTCTAGATTTCGGGACTAGTTACGCTGGGAACAATATGTTATGGCCTTGATTACGACGACTTGCTAGCCTCGCTGCAGATTACTGAGCTTAGTTTCATCTATCCCTTTGCCTGACTTCGCCATCTAGGGAGAAGAGTGAGGCCCAGCCAGCATCTGTGCGGAGCTGGCCAGTTCCGAGCAGGAACAACAACCAGCCCGCGTATAGACCCTCCCAGTGTGTAGTGCACGGTAGCATTGCTGGAACCTCGGACAAAAGGAGCCAGAGATGAGGAGCATGGTACAGAGATGCTTACCTACCGAGTGCGTGCCGCATATGTTGTGAAAAGCCGGGAAAAAGAACGCAGCATGCATTGAACAGCCGTTGACTTATCATCCGAGACAGAAAGTTAGTTATGACAAGCCTGGACATACATGATGCACGAGGAATGTTCCTACGGCGCCTGGGTTGGCTCAAAACAGCAAGGAAGCGCGATGAGAGCCTGTAAGAAGCGAACATGTTTCGCCGGCTGAAAAGCTGCCATGTTTCAGCAGAGTTGAGCGACACTTTAGCTATAGGCAGAATCATGATGGTCGTCTCTCCTGACTTTCGTTCATTAATTTCCACTAAAAAGCAAGCATACTGTGTCTATCTTCTCATTGCCCGCGCCAAGCCCCACCACTACTGGAGCTACTGTCTGAATGCACGTAGTAGAGTGTACACAGCACGAAAGTACTGGTGGTAAAGCCAAGCCACTGAAGAGGATTTGGCACGCCAGTTTTTGAATTCGGACTCTTGAGGCTGCTACTGGCGTGGAATCTGGGGCGTGGGAAGATTTTCGACCCGACCTGTGTGATCCCATGAGTTCATCCCTCCCATTGAGACAAGCCGTGAGCCGTTCTTGGCTTCCAGAGTGACTCGATCGCTTCCAGGAAGAGCTCTCCTCACTTCCTCGAACTGATGACAAGATAAATCTTAAGGCATGATGCAGGAAACTAGCTGAAGCGGCCGGGAAGCGGCAGGATCAGCAACCCACCAAAATCACAATGATTGATCAGCCGCTTCGCATCCAATAGGCTGGGGTTGCACAACCTGTAGATGGCAGTTACTGATCTCAAAGGACGTACTCCGTAGATGGTTGATGAATGCATTATCTCGCTCTGAAGAGCGAAGCGGAGAGAATGAATCATCAATTAATTTATGTACACAGGTCTTGTAATTGGATCTTGGGGAAGTGGAGCGAGCAATGACGGCATTCTGTTGCAACAGTCACATCCTCGTTGAACAGTCGCACCCAGACCAACTTGATCTGATTCGTATCCCTCATGCGGTAGGGTGATTGATCTTGATTGATGGAGAAGGGCTCGGGAGGATGAGATGAAGCAAATGCGGTGGTGTGGCGCTTGTGGGAAGCGGGCACAAGGCTGACAGCAGCAAGTCAGATCGAATGCTTTTTTTTTTTACCGGAGTGTAACCAGATCGAGTCGGGTCGCGTATGGCGGTATTTTTCTACTATCTCTGGCTTGTCTGGACGTCCCGTGAAACTGACGAGGGAGACGAGAGAAATTAAGAGCCACAAAATCCAGAAGACAGAGAAAGAGCCAAAAGAAAAATGGGCCCTACCACAATTAATCTTGAGGAATCACAAGTGAACTTCCGCATGCTTCCCACGAAACTACTGACTGTACGGAGTACTGGAAAGATCTCCTCGAAACTACATCATCGCCTTCCATGGCCTCATGGAGACCCAGCAGAGGCAGGCAGGCCGCCCAGAGGGCATCCGGGCACCGGCTCGGCCTGTTCTGAAGAGTTGTCGCCGTTCTAAGCTTACGTACATTTCCCTGAATCTCTCCAAATCTCGCTGTTAATGCGCTATCCGGAGTAAACCTGTTGCCCATTAATCAAAGTGAATGAGAAGGATTAAAGGAACGTCCCGAAGAGAGTTGCGGTGTTGACCCGTGATGGAGGGGGTGTCTGTAGCTGTTACCAGTCCTCAATGTATAGTACTGTAATGTTACCCACGGTACGGAGTACTTTCCTTCGGAATAAACAAACGGCTACTGTGTCGTGCCTAATCCTCCCGCCGCCAATCTTCCATCCTCATCATTCATTTCCACACCAGCCCATTCTCGCTTTTCATCGCAAACCTAAACCACTACCTGAGTGGGTATTGTAGCCCAATATGCCAATGGGAGATTTTGCCTTCAACGAGCCTCGATTTTACTTGCTGGAACGGTGCCTTTCCGTCCTTGGTGTGCGGTAGAGCAGACTTATAGTTCGAGGTCGGTAACATGGAGGCAACTTCAACACTGAGAGTCGAGGATGATAAGTTTTTCGCGCAGCACGATCTGTCAGAGGGAAGTTCTTACCTGATAACATATGCTCACTGTCTTCACCTATCTAATGGTCCTTGCCCCATGTGTCTCGGCAGTGTGGGGCTAATAACAGACAGTCCTCAGATTCAGCTGCAGGTCCTCAGTCAGCATTCATTAACTGAGGATCAGATCAGTTACCTATCTCCGTAGTAAGCAATAGGTCTTGCTCGGGAAGGTGAAGCTGTCTGTGAATTGAACGATAACTGGCAGACTGTGAACGTTATACATGCATACGGGATGCTTGACCTACAGACCTACAATTATGCTTAGCCATTGAAGGCTCATTTCACATATCACTGAACAATGATGGCTGTGTCTATGGGCAATATCGCTCAGGAGGTCTTCTCCCAGTCTCTTCTAGATGACGCAGATATTGCTAAGGGTTCGGGGGAGGTCAAATGCGCTCGTTCGAGGTTAAACTTGATGTTCTAAATCGCATGTTAGTCTCTTCTTTGCGCTGGGCTCTAGTGGTTCTTTGTTCTGTCTTTGTTTGACCATTTTCCAAGTCGGAATCAAAATCTGCCTTCCAAAGTGTTGAACATACGTGCTGTCTGCGTTATTTACCCACTGTCTTCCAGTGCTTCTGCAAGTATCCCTCCTTTTCTTATCCATCACCTGATCCGCGTACTTTCTTCAGTATCAAACCAAGAAACATTGGAGAGGCATATGCCTACAAGCAGGCTTCGGTGCATCATTTTCTGTTTTTTGAACCTCTCTACCCGACTTATGCGTACCATACTTTCTCTCCGGTTTCCTTATTCTCACACTGCACTTCTGTTGCGATCAGAAAAATTTCGAGTAGTCGATTTACCGTGTCGCTGCATGTTGTCAACTATCGAGTTCTTTGGAAACATCTAGGACGTGTTGTCATCTGTGGACGGTCTGCTTCTCACCAGTCCACAAGTATCTGGATGCTATGCTATCTCATACCTAACGCTGTTGCGGTCGTCTCTGATCTTTCTGTCCTGCATCCATCCTGGTCAATATTACACCACCTTCCCGCTAGTAACAAGCTCACTCTGATATCTCCACTAACAGCCAAATCCCTCTAACGCTGTCCTGCCCTCCATCACTGCCATTATGTTTCCAATGCCCTTTTCTCCCTTTAAAGATTTTTCTCCATCTGGTCTTAATATTTAATGGTTTTTATTTTTTATTTTTTTTCTTTTTGCTCTAATCCTAATTCTAGATTTTTATTTTCGAATATTATTTTCCCTCCAACGTCCCCTCTTTTCTCTCTTCCCCTCTCACTTCATCTTTATTTCCCCCTTCTCCAAAGATCTTAGTCTTGTATTCCATTCCTGTTCGGGGATAGTTGTTGGTTGTCAACATCCTTTGGTGCTGGAGAATGGATCTCTCGCGCAGCTAAATAACGACCCTGGACCCTCCACATTACACTCGCACTCGCATCGCACTGTTTAACCCATTGAGCCAGCCAGGCCTTTTGCTTTCTCCTCTTCCCCTACACAACCCTTCTCCCCTCCCCCCCCCCCCCCAAAGGCCAGTCCAGAGCCACACTGACCATTGAGCCACTACCGTTTCCCTTCAGCCTCTCTTTGATTTTGGTCTTTACCTGTTCGTCTCCCCCTAGTCAAGATATCCTTCCCGTAACCGTTGTGGTGCCGCCCCCTCCCTCACTCCCTCTTCTTCATCCTCCGTCCGAGCTTGGACTTTAGAGACCACTCACCCTCGTCCCCCAAGAGAAAGACAAACCTTGTTCTACAGTGTCTTGACTTCCTACCTATATTATCTTCTACTATCGCAAGTAAGGTCGAAAGTGAAAGACAAAAACAAAAGCAAAAAAGAAAAAAAAAAAAAAAAAAAGGAACGGAAAAGATACAGAAAAGACGTACCAATCTGCCTGGCACGAGGAACACGAACTCAACGAGCAAGACATCAGTCGAGGCCATTTGAGGTCAGTCATGACCGGCATGGTTCAGACTGACCTGGCTCATCCACCCGCAACTAGATTCAAAGACGAACCTGCAGAGGATCCCGTGAGTGCATTTTCTCTTTTTCTCTCGTTCGCTGTCTGAAAACCTATGAAGCAACCCTTCTCCTTCGCTGAGTCGTACTCCCGTGTTTCGCTTTTCTTGCATCTTTTTCCTATTGCGCTTCTCGTATAGCTGCTTGGCTTGGCCTTCAAACAAGGGCAACCCAGTCTCCCGCGCATGTGCTCTTCCTAGGAAGCACCCGGCAGGACTCGTGGATATTTATCGACCCCGACCATAGCCCGACCAGAAGAGCTTCTGAAGCCCTCTCACCAAATCTCAAACGATAAAGGACAAAACTTCTTTCTGGTCAGATCGTCGGCCTGATGACATCTGTTGTACGTTGTTTACGACTGATCACTTCAGAGCGGTTATGCTGCCCCCCAATCGGCGATTCTTCCTCCTCATATGCCAATGATTCTGTCTGAGTTGCATTGAAAAAGGCATTCTCAAGCATTCTCATCCACGAGGTTCTGCATCAGCTCTGGCGGGTTCATGATGACGTCGCAAAAGCCAGAGCCGAGAATTTCGCTTGTGCGGCCTCTAGGATTCCCGAACTGCTCCTCCCGAAGTGTGACTAGGTAGCTGAATTGCTTTCAGCTATCGCTACGACAGGGGCGCGAGGGGCAGTTCTAGTGGCTGCTACGGACCGAGGGAAACAATGTGCTTACGAAGGCTGAGAAGGCGCAGACGACGACCGAAATCGGCCCTGGTTTGGACTGGATAGTAGAGTTCACTGCCGCGGTGCATTTCTCTTCGCCTTGAGACACAGGGAGCTCGAGTCCTTCCTTTCATACGTTTTTCTACTGTTTACCTTGATATAGATCGAAATTCCTTGCAGTGCAGCTTCCCTGTCTTTTCCTTTGCTCTCTACAGATTCTGGCAGTGGCCTAAGATCTGACAATGACATTTCATTTGCTTCTAACAAACACACATCACAACTCTTCTCGCTGGGACATCATCGCCATCCCCCATGATAAGTGTCCAGGCTAACCAATTGCTTCATTCAAGCTTCGGCATCAAAGCGCGCAACACCACCATCTTCAGCATCCTAGACCTGCAACCGTCATACAATCATCGAAACAACCAGGGTCACCCCATCAGCCATCGACTACCTTGTCTTCTGGGCCATACAACTCCCACCCATTAGCGCACGGTGTCCTCCATCACCCTTACGGTCCATCACAGGAACAACCATACTACACACCGCATTCAACCTATACAACAGCCAGTGCACCGAGCCAGTACCCGTCGAGTGGTATGCATATATCGTCAGCTCCGACCTTCAAACAGAATGCATGGCTGATTGGCGTAACAGGCCCCTCTGAAATTATGGCAACGGCTGCACAGATGCAGAGGCCATATCCTCCGATCTATCACACACCCCAATCCAGTTCACCCGCTTCAGTAGCATCGCAGACCCACGAGCCGCACAGTCGGAACATCTACACACAATCGCCACAGATGACGTCTCAAATGTACAGTTACCAACCCTATTCGCCAATGAATCCAGTTCAGCCCTCACCTTATGGGCCCAATGCATCGCCTCAGCAGCATCCCCTTACGACCCAGTCGCTGATGATGCCGCATCAGACCAGCACTGCACAGTTGCCTCATCATCCCACCCAGGGCCCGAGTAGTGCTATTGCAAACAGTCCCACTGCTACCGTACAACAACCAACTCCCCCCCAGAGAAATATGCTGAATCCACCGCTCCCTGCTACGACCGCTGCACCCATTTCAGGTAGTATTGCTCATCACCAGAGCTCAAGTGTTGGTGCAAGCTCTAGTGCAGCACCCGGGCCAATTCCTGCCACGACGCCTCTCGTTGTTAGACAGGATAGCAACGGAGTTCAATGGATTGCATTCGAATATTCCCGGGACCGTGTGAAAATGGAGTATACTATCCGATGCGACGTCGAGTCAGTGAGCGTGGATAACCTTAGCCAGGAATTCAAGACCGAGAACTGTGTGTACCCTCGTGCGTGCTGCAGCAAGGATCAGTACCGGGGTAATCGCTTGGTGTATGAAACGGAATGCAACGCCGTTGGATGGGCATTAGCCGAACTTAACCCTGCATTGAGGGGGAAGCGCGGTCTAATTCAGCGGGCTGTGGATAGCTGGAGAAATAGCAACCAAGATCCACGTCTTCGCAGTCGCCGTGTGAGAAGGATGGCTAAGCTGAACAGACGACAAGGGCTTCCCGCACCACCACCACCGCATATGGCACCATCGACGCCGGTTGCTCCGGGTATCCCAGCCGCCAATCTGGCTGCAGCCGCTCCACACCCAGGGCTAGGGCCCTTGGCCATGGGCCCCCCTCAGCTACACCATCACCATGCCCAACCCGATGGAGGTGCAGCCCATGAAGAAGTCAGCGGTATGTACCACAATCACGTATGAAGCACTTCTTGTTCCGACTTTTGTTACACAAAAACGACAACCGTGTATCATGTGTATCATGCCAAAGTCGCTTCCTCGATTGAGAGGAATAGTCACGACTGGCCCAATCTTCATGGAAAAATAAGTTCTGTGCTCTATGTACTTCTATCTGCTGTTTCGCCTTTCATGTTCCAGTCTCCTTTGTATTGCTTCCTATCGATTCTCATACCCAATTTGCCTTGAATGTGTTGCAAGTGCACTCGATCTGCTTTTGCTTGCTTTAACCACAACACCTTGCTTCTTGCGTAGGCTAATTTTATAAACTTCATATTGTCCTTGTCAGGTCCTCCGGAATTTCCGAACGGGATCCACCGTCCACTTGCATCAGATCATCCGCCGCCTGGCCAGTCCCCCACAGAACTTCGCAACGCCCAAGTCTTCCATGGCTTTCACTCTTACCCAACGGCAGGCAATATTGGCAGTGGACCGCGGGGTCCTTCAATACCACCACTGCTCCGGGAAAGTGGCATAGGGGCTCTAGGGCGGCCTCCAACAGTCGCGACGGCGAGCCGTATTAGAGAGGTAGAGGACGAGGAGGAGGAGCAAAACCCTAGCACTGAAGCTCTCTTTGGCACCCCCCCGGGTGGCAAACCTCGCAAATTCATCCTGGTAGACGACACCCAACGCGGCGCACGCGTTCGGGTGAAGGTTTCTTTGGACCTAGTTGATATGGATGAAATTCCTGATTCCTACCGGAGGACGAACTCGGTATTCCCTCGGACCTACTTTCCTGTTCAAATGCGAAGCCCTCGCGCCTCAATCGTGCCTGGCAACAGGTTCATCAAGGATCGCTCCGAGCTCGACGATGAAGACGACGAGGTACCGACCGCGGGACGGGTCATGGTTCCCGTTCCTCAAATCGATGGTGAGAGCGATATCGCGGTTCCTCGGCTATCTCGAGCTCGACGACGGAAGGAGGTTCTCCTCAACGACTTGGCCTACCGAATTAGCTGGAGCCAAAGCCGAGTATTTGCAGGACGGATGATGTTTTTACAACGATCACGTACGTATTCTCCGTGTAATCCTTCGTGGAATCCTGTGTATCCGTGACAGATATTGAGTCCGATATTTTGAAAATGATAGTGGATGCATACCGCAACAAAATGCGCGCCGCGATGGTGGCTGAGGGCCAGGACCCTTCGGCGATCCCTCAACATTTTGAGACGCGAGCGGGAAAGCGGCGCTTTCTTGAGCGCAAGCGACGAGTCACCCCCGCCAGAGAGGCCACGGCACATATTCTCTCTGCCTCCCGACACAGTGCGGAAGAAGTTGAAGCTTGAAATCTCTTTGTCCTAGTTGCTCTTGAGCAAGAGTTGGGATCTCTCGCTCATTGCGACCGCTTACGTTCCGATTTTTCTTGATGTTTCCCAGCGTATTCTTCTTATGTGATGCCTCTTTGAACTACTAGTTCCTCTCGGCGATCACGCCGCCTTCTCTGCACACACTCCTTTTATTGTTTCTCGAGTCATTTCTATGGAAGCCCGATCCTGGGCTATTCTGGTGATCATTTTGTAGATTTTCCGCTGAGATGAGACCACGATGCTTAGGGAAATCATGGCAGTCTTGTGAGATCCGGTGTTGAAACGAGTTGTGTCTTCTGTTGTCTCCAAATTGTTCGATCTGCCGTACATTTGGATTGTGTCGCGAGGGATCTACGACGAAGCTACGGATATCGCACTGACTGAGCGGAGAACGATAAGATTATGACTTGGTCTCGTGTGGAGGCCATGTTCGAGGGCGAGGCGTGGCTGTTTCTGATGGAGTTGAATCTGTTTCGCATATATGTATGCTGTATGTATATGCTGTATGTATGACTCGTTCCACTGCGCGTGGTGAAAGGAGGGAAGATGCATATTTTTCTTCTTTCCATTCGGCTTGTTGCATGACTCTGTCCGCCTCGTTGCGCCATTTTGAGCCACCTGACTGCGGTTCCGAAGTAGGTCTGAGATAAGTAGTACTCAAAGTCGGGACTATTAGAGTGGTAAGATCCGTTTGCTGTCCGGTGGTGTAGCCTACAACGCCACGTTGTGATTGTCGAGGTGTTCGTACAGATTGTTCTAAGACGAAAAAGAGAGAATAGCAACTGGAAAGCAAAGAAAGGCATTTATCCGCGACCGGACAAAGCTCCAGACTGCAGTAACTATCACACAGCCTGGGCTTTCATGATCGACATCCGGAACCGGGTGTGGCCTAAACGGGATTAGTCACAGACCCTGTTTTTAGTTTGGACCCTCTCTGCTCCCTTCCAGTAGTGCCGGTAGTGCCATCCATTGCATGCCCACCATGCCATCATGCCCTGTCGCCCGCCCGCCAGGTGCCAGACCGGGTACTCCGCATTCTGAGGAGACTCACTCCGGAGTAGAAGTTACTAACTATAGTTAAACTAGTAATACGAGTAAGAAGCTTTGCAACGAGTCGACCTCCGCTTTCGTTGCCCGGTCACCAGCCGCCGCCACCAGGTCCAGTGATGCATGCGGTGAATGAATTCAGATCAACGCCGGCTAGTTATTGTCAATAAGTACGGATGTTTGTCTTATCTGTACTTCGTATGGTTGCGTCGAATAGTCAACCTTTTTCTCCACGTTTTGTTTTTCTTTTTTGTTTCCAGTCCCTGGCAGTCTCTCCCACGGGCCATTCCCCAACGCACTTGCCGCGTCGCATGCTGTTCGCGTTCCAAACCGCTGTCTCGCTCCTAGTCAATATCATTTAGTGAATGACCTTCCCAGTGGTTCAATCCCGCCAACTTGCCTTGTCCCGTTCCTTCGTCCTTGCCTGATCCTGCTGCTATTTTCAGACCCTCCAACCAACCTCCCCCGAACTCCTCCCCCCCCCTCTCCCCGCGCCTTGCCGTTGCCTCTCCGCCCTCCTCGGTTACAAAGCTGTGTCCCTAACTATTGTTTGCTTACCTCTATCTCTCCCGCATCTTCCGGCATCTATCTTTATCTTATCTAGGTTTGTCTCTTCAGCTCAACTTCCCTGAGAAAAATCATTCAGCGCCATCCTGGCGTAATCAGCCATTCCTTCTTACAGCCATGTCCGGGCTCAACCGGGCATTTAGTTACAGCGAAGGTGATGACGGGTCGGTGGTCGCAGGTTCACGCCAGCGGTTATCCCCAGAAGAGGGACGTCTCATGGACGGCAGCAACGAGTACAGCGCCATGGACATGAACCGTACCCCCACACTACACCAAAGACCGAGTCAAACGGATAGCGACGGACCTTTGGAGACAGTGCCGGAGAACCGGAGCGTAGAACACACACGCACCCATTTCACCGCAACGCCGGGGATGGACAACATGGGCCCTTCAGCCGTGGGTGGAGGCATCAGTGGTATCGCCCTGGGCGTTGCCAACACCCATGACCGTCAGAGTGGAGTTGACGCTTTCAGGGAAACAGCCGGTCCGTTGTACAATATTCCCGCCGAACGAGACTACCACACCACGGGGGCCGAGAATCCTTACGTCCCTGCACCACCGCCCGACGCGGAGGAAACGGTTCATGCCGGCTCGGGTACTCTGCGGCCGCGCGACTCCTATGGGTCTCATGTCGCGCTTCGTACGGCGGGTGCAGTCACAGGGCACTCGACCCCAGCTGCAACGCCTTCTCAGCACAGTTTTCAAGATAGTCCCTATCAAGGGGTCGGTGCGTTCAGTGAGGGCCCGTACCAGCGGCAGTCGGTATACTCTACGCAGAATTACCCACTCACCTTCAACCCGGATGAAATCGCAGATGACGGGGACGATGGATTTGTCAATGTCGCACCAAAGGGGGTATCGCCGTCAAGGGATCACAGTTTGCACGGGACAGCCGGTGCTGCTGCGGTCGGTGGAGCTTCAGCAGGTGGTATCCTAAGTGGGCTCCGAGGCTTGTTCGGAGGGGGGAAGAAAGACTCCAGTCCGTCGTACGGACCTGTGCCTGGCGTGGGTCTGGAAGCAACCGAGAAGGGACCCAGAGCGGGCTCGATAGCCGGAGCAAGCAGGCGGAAGCGCGCATGGATTGTGGGACTCACTCTCGCATTCATTATTGTGGCCGCCATTGTCGGGGGAGCGGTCGGCGGCATTTTGGGTCATCGGAGTAGCGAGGCTCCCGCTTCGGCAAATGGTTCGGACAGTTCCGCGGACGGCTCTTCGGACTCGTCGGACTCGTCGGATGGACTACTCGACAAAGATTCTGCGGAGATCAAAGCGTTGATGAACAACGCTAACCTGCACAAGGTTTTTCCTGGGTTGGATTATACACCCTGGGGAGTACAGTACCCGCTTTGCTTGAAGTATCCTCCATCCCAGAATAATGTCACGCGCGACCTCGCTGTGCTCTCACAGTTGACCAACACCATTCGACTATATGGAACAGACTGCAACCAGACGGAATTGGTGCTGACTGCTATCGACCGCCTCGATCTGACCGACATGAAGCTTTGGCTGGGTGTGTGGATCGACAGCAACCAAACGACCAGCGACCGCCAGGTCAAGCAGCTCTTCAACATCATTGATGTAGCTAACAACACCTCAATCTTCCAAGGAGCTATAATTGGTAACGAAGCTTTATATCGGGCAGGCCCGGACATTGCCACGGCCCAGAAAACCCTGATCAGCTACATGACCGACGTCAAGAACCACTTCAAGCAGAACAGCATCGACTTGCCGGTTGGCACGTCAGACCTAGGTGATAACTGGAATCAGGAGCTGGTCGATGCCGCAGATTTCGTCATGTCAAACATTCATCCGTTCTTTGGCGGTGTTCAAGCCGCCGAGGCAGCCAGTTGGGCTTGGAGTTTCTGGCAAAATCACGATGCTCCACTGACCGTCGGCACCAACAAACAACAAATCATTTCCGAAGTGGGGTGGCCTAGCGGTGGAGGGAATGACTGTGGTGATGGTGATAATTGCCAAACTGACACGCAGGGAGCTGTGGCAGGCATCGATGAAATGAACCAATTCATGGCGGATTGGGTCTGCCAGGCACTAGAGAACGGGACTGAGTATTTCTGGTACGTCAGACGTCAGTTGATTGTGGTATTAGGTCTAATGGATTACAGGTTCGAGGCCTTCGATGAGCCTTGGAAAGTTCAGTATAACACAAAAGGCCAAGAATGGGAGGACAAATGGGGGCTGATGGATGCGGCTCGCAAGCTGAAACCGGGACTGAAAATCCCCGATTGCGGCGGCAAGACCGCGGCATGAACGACATTCACACTCTCCACCTTTTACTCCTGATCAAGTTCCGACTCAGCGTGTCGTGAGTCTTTCGATGTATACACGAACCAGCGACATACGCCATGTTTTGACGATGTACAGATTAATGGCTTCTCGTGGATCTCTTTGCGGGTGTTTGGGTTCCCTGTGATTTCTTTGCACGGATGAGAGGGTGACTGTGTTCCGGCGGTCGGAAGGGACTGTCCATGTTGTCCCCCGTTCTTGACCTGTATATAGTTTGTCAATAGTGACGGTCATAAGCCATCGACAACTAGTTCCACATATCATCTATGCTTGCGTTGCTGACGTCTGCCTCTGATAATGATGTTCCTGATGGAGTGCTTGATTTTCTTCTTTTGAGGGAACCTTGCCCTGTCGCCTAGAGTGGACTCTTTTCTTGCACATCATTTCTCGTCCCTATCCTCGATCTCTCGCGTGGTATAGTAAACTCTCTGCTCCCAGAAGGCCTCCTTCATTTCCTCAAACCGTGGTAACCGCATCGACCGAACCCCTGCCACATAACGGTCGATGTGTTCGGACCCCGTGTCCTCCAGCGGGCCCCCAACCACGCAGGCCGGGTTTCGCGCCAGCAGCAATTCGAGGTGCGTCTTTTCCGCGCCGGGACAGAACAGCAGCGAGCCGGGGGTAACTTTCTCAAAGCCGTCCGGGTGATTCACAACAGTGATGCCGAACGAGGTAAGAAGGTCATGATCGAGGGAGTTGAAGACTGGATCTTGAGCATAAACGGGCAGGGTCGGAGTCGGAGTCGGAATATCCGCTGCGGTTCGGTGGTCTGGACGAGGATGCACCTCACTGGTTAGTCTATCCGGCTCTTCTTTTCCATATTTTTTTTCCAAACTTGTCATCCCCAGCCGAGCCTCTTAGAGAATAGAGAATAGAGAATAGTAGTTCAACAACAAATTGCTTTGCGGGATTGGCAAATTAGGGAATTGGGGAAGAACATAGGGTACGGGACGCAAGGATTGCCTTACGGGCAAAACACTCCACCACACTCATCAATGCATTCAGTTGGTAGAGGGAGACGCTTCGTCGATCGACCCAGCCGCCGCGGAGAAAGCCGCTGGGACTGCCGAGGCCTATGCAGATTATGTTGGTGATGGGGTGGGTAGTGTTCGGATTGGGATTGGGATTGGATTGCGAGGAGGCTGGAGATACCCCGGGAATTGTATCAGGGTCCTCTTCTTGTACCGGCTGTTGTTTTTGTTGTTGTTGTTGTGGGTGTGCTTCGGGTTCGACTTCACAATCATGATGCACGTGTCGGCGTATGGTCGCCGTTAGGGTTGCGGCGGTGGCGGAGGCGCTCCATTTCACGCGGTGGGTGTGGTATTGCGCGAGGAGGTCCGGGAGGGTGAGCGATTTGGGGGCTTCGGCGGGTAGTAACGTTTCTTCTTCTTGTCCTTCTTCTTGTGCTGGTTGTTGTCGGCGGCGGGGGTTGGGAGCACGGTGAGCGTGACCGGTGGTGGTGACGTGTGTCCAGCCGGTGGAGTCGGTGATTGTGGTCCGTTTGGTTGCGCCGGTGGCCTTCTTTTTGCGCGAGGTGTGCGGCATCGTGAGATTGATGTGGATGGGAGTAATGCACCGAGTTCAACGCCGGTTTGCTTCTGCGGCAGCTGAAGCGCAACAGCGCAAAAAAATTGGAGATGCGGGGGGCGGTGGGGTTTGATCGGGTTTGTGGGTCATGAAAGACGGAGTACAGGTACTCAGTATGTACGTACGTATGAAAGCTTCATCCTGTGCAGCACGTTTGTCTGATCGCAACTAGTATCTACGAGGAATTACAGTACAACGGAGATTGGCTCGGAGGAGGAACTCCAGAACTCTTATTTTTATTTACTTTCTGTAACTTGCGGACGGGGATGAGTACCTTAAGTTCTTTATGCATGTTCTCTGCTGAATAATCTCCACTTATGCAGTACGCTCATTTAAGCCCCTTGGGGACTAGCTCCTGGAACCTTCGGACGGAACTTCAAATACCATGGGAATGGCATGATTTGAACAGAACAACAGAACCACATCCACAACAAACAACCCCGTCACCCATCATGGCCGAGCACCCGTCTTTCACTCTTGCGGCCCTGCGTATGCCTTCCATCCACACTGTTCGTTCGAGTGTGAACCAACCATCACTAATTGCTTCAAATAGTGCCTGCCGGCGGCATCGCCGGATACATGCGCACTGGCTCTACCCCCTCCTTGATCGCGGGGGTAGGATTGGGATTATCTTATGGGTTCGCCGGTATGTTTGTCTGAGAGCCAAAAGACCTCGCTTAGATTCCAGAAAAACTACTTCATCTGCGGTACTGACGGCCCGTCAGGCTACTTGATCAAGGAGAACAAGGATTACGGCACGGAACTTGCCCTGGGAAATAGCATCGTCCTGCTGGGCTCGGCGATCCCTAGAATCGTCAAGACCAAGGCCAGGGCCCCCATGCCCCTGGTCCTCGGTGCCGCCGGTCTGTTGGCGTCTTTCTACTACCAGAAGAAGGTCCGCGAGTTCAGATTCGGTGTTTAGTTCTACGTGTGCTTGTTGCGCTGATGGAGATCCGTGGTTGCACCTATGTATTTGGCGGCCCATGTAACTTGTATTGAAAATGTTATGCTGTAAGTTAGTTGGTGGGATATTGAGTCGGGGCTTACGATTAGGATCGGCTTGACGCCGTGATCGAATCAAATCTCGTCCTCGAATGAATGAATCTATCTATGCTCCCGGCCCAGCAACATGGCTATATGATGACTAGGCAGTGTACATGTGATATCTTTCGTTTCCGGGAACTTCCTTGAAGGCCCAGGGCTGAGAATTATTTGAAGTTGAAAGTGTATTGTTCATCCTATGACCAGTCGGGTCCTCTTTACAGAGAGAGACTCTGAACCTGCTGATAGAATCAAACGAGGCGTATGGCTCAGAGAGTGCCAAGTCTTGCTTACTGCAGGACTACAAATTGGAATGGAGGAGAGATCGAGTGCCGATGACACGGTCCCGCTTTCCCATTAGGTTCTCAGCTTCACTGCCATCCTAGCAGTAATTCGCATCGTCCTCAAGTTTTCTTGCATCTAATCTGATGAAACCTCTGTGGGGCGTCCCGAGACTGATGCAGAAATGCCTATGCCGACGCCCATCCTGAACAATGTTATGTTAGTAGTCACTTGCGCCTTCATTTAACTTCACCATTGAACTTCCTCGGTTGGCTACCTGTGCAATTGCGGACGCAGAAAAGGACGTATGTGATGCACCCTAGTTCCGCAGGCGAAAGCCAGGAGCGCATCAAGTAGAGGGTACTCCGAGGGGAAATCCATATTATATTGGATGGAGGCTGTTATCTGCCATGAATCATGTTAAGTGCGATGTTTACTTTACGATCGTCTGTTGGCTATTGAATACCGCCGGCGAGCCTCAAGATTGCCTGGGCTACCTGCTCTGGGCTTTCCTGGGGAGCCCAATGGCCGACCCCATCGATTAGTATCATCTCGCGAAAGTCACTGCAGACCACTCCATTTTCCATCTTAGCCAAGGCACCTGGCTCCTGGTAGATGCCCCAGTCGAGTTTCCCGGACACAAATGTGCAGGGAATGTCAATCTTTCTGCCTGTAAAGACCTCATGGTCCCATGTGTACTGACCCCCTTCAGCCGTGCGTACCCGGTACCAATTCAACCCGCCCTGGAAGCCGGTCCGTTGGTACTCCCTCACGTACACCGCGAGGTCTTCATCGGGAAGCCACTCGCGCGACGCCCGCAATCCCTCCTCTGACTCCTCGCGCATATGCCGTTCCACGGCCTCAGGCATCGTCGACTCTGCGGGCATCACATAGTAATACGGCATCTTGACGAGCTCCTCGGCGGTCCAACCCGTCAGCATGCGCGGCTGATTCCCTTCCCATCGACCGCTCTTGAGGTGAAAGTATCCCCGCAAAAAGCCATGAAGCCCGTCCGGCCCCGTGGCGTGGAGCATGTCCGCGTTCGCGGAAGGCGTGGAGTAGTACCATTTGTAGTGCTTGCGGCCATGGTTCAAGAGAGTTGAGTGTATATCCTCTCCTGCGCTGGACTGTCGCTGCGACAGCTCCTTCGCCGGCGCCGGCATGCCATTGAAAGGATGACTGAGCAGCACAACGCTGCGAAAAAGATCCGGGCGCGCCACGGCGCACATGGCGGCGGTCACGGCGCCACAATCATGCCCGACCACGCAGTGGACGGAGGTGTACCCCAGCGCATACACGAGGAGGACGACATCGCGTACGAGGGAGGAGACGGTGAAAGTGTGCAGGTCGGCGCTGGCGTAAGGGCGGGTATCCCAACCCAAGGTGCGGCCGAACCCCCGCTGATCGGGTGCCACAACGTGGTAGTCGGCGGCAAGAAGAGGTATCACTTTACGCCAAGAGAAGGCGAGTTCGGGGAAACCGTGAAGGAGAATTATGAGCGGACGGTCATGGTTGTGGGAGCAACCAGCCTCCAGGATATGGGTTGTGAGGGAGGGGGTGGTTATGAAGCGGGAAGTTATGCCGGAGGGAAGAGGAAGAGGAGGGAGAGATGGTGATGTTGTCATATTTCGGGGGTCAATATGTGGGGGTCGGAGGGAGTAAGTACAGTGGAGGGGGAAGTTGAAATAGGAGAACCGTATTCAACAATCTCAGTAGCAATAGGGAGAGTGGGATGACTTAGTGCGATCTCATGAATCAAAGTTTTGAGCCTGCTTGATGGATGATGGATGATGGATGATGGATGATGGATGATGATGATGATGGTTGATGATGATGATGATGATGATGATGGCTTCAAACGAACCAAGTGGACTCAGTCCCCCTGCCCGGTTGGCTGCAGAATTGAGGCGTCGACCCAATTCAGCTTAGCGCGGAAGATCACGTTCTCGCAGCGGAACGGAGCTTTCCCAGATTGGGATGCACCAATCACCGTGCTTGAAACCTCCTCCAATTCACCAAAAGATCCCTCAGGCCCCAAAGTGGAAGCAATGGAACGAACCCACCACAACCACTACCAGGTACTTTTACTTCCAGTTTCAACTGACTCGGACTCCAGTTGATTTGAACCTCGACCCGATCTCAATGACGCAACGCGTTGCTGCAGCCCAACTAAGGTTCTGGCCCTTTTTTCCCTCTCTCTCCTGCTGTTGAATTCAATTAATTCTCCATTCTTTTGTTCGTTTCTTTCCGCAATTCCTCAATTCTCTCTTTCTCTGTTGCTGCAGTCAGCCAATCGGTCTCTCTCTCTCTCTCTCTGTGTGCGTGTATCCTATTTACCCCCTCGTGCAGACCTTGTGTTCTCCTTGCTTCCTCCTCTCCTTGCTCCCCTTTCCGAACCTCAAATCTGCACTCATTGCTCTCTCTCCATTTGTTTCCCTTCCGTCGCCTCCGTGAAGGCCTCCTCCTCAATCATAGACTTTCTACACAACCCATCACCCTGCCTCATCCATACCACAAATATATGCACTAGGTGGAATTCTTTGCCTCGGCCGCTTGGAACTTCAATTGCGCTCGTCTCCGGCAACTACCGCCTGAGCCATGTTTCGCAGAAAGAGGAGCTCGTCTCAACATCAGGTAACCCCTCGTTTTATAGGCATCTTCGGCGGGTCTTAAGGAACTAAACATCGCGCATTTACTTAGCATCCTCTCTCGGCCTCTTCCACTCAATCCGCCCAATCCGCTGCTAGTCATGCCTTTCTCAAATCCCAACCCTCTTCCAGTAGCCTCTCCTCCGCCGCCGCGGCCGCCGCCCTGCGCAGTCTCACACCCACTCCGACCCCGATCGAAAATGTACAAACCAAACGAATGATGCAGCGACGGACCTCAGTATCCTCGCAACTGAGTGGCACGCCAAGCTTGCGACCCATCAGTGGAAATGGTCTCCGTCGCTCAAGCAGCTCCGCCTCCATGACGCATCGGACATTTCGAGATCAATCCCCGCGACGACCGGCTTCAAGTGCTGGACACGTCGACCCCGCACCGCCGCTCCCGTCCATCCCCCGCGAATACACGGGGCGAAACGATCAGGCGCGTCGTTCTGTGAGCATGGGCCCAGCTTTGCGACAAACTCCTCGCGGGAAACCGATGGCAGACCTTGGATCGAATAGCGATAGCACTAATGCCCCCAAGCCGTCCGCACGAGCACCCACACGAGCGCCTGCCGCCACGCCATCCCCAGAGCTGCGCCGACCCGCTAGTCGAAATTCAATCAATTTCTCATATCCGATGGGCTCACGTCCTACATCTCCGACGGGTTCGATAGGAAGAGATGCATCGACGAGTACTTCCCTGGCCGGCCAGCTTTCTGCTGCGGAGTCTCCAAATCGCACCAACAGCAGCCCTCGGGCTACACGCCTTTCCAAAACAAGGGGGGTCTCCCCTGTAAGCCCGGCTCAACGGTCAGTGTCTGCGGGGACTGCGTTGGCTGCTGCTCAGGCTGCCATTGTGCCTCGAAGCCAAGAAGTGAGTCCGGTGGCTGCGTCCCCGCGCAGGCCTTCGTCCCAGGATCGAGGTGTTCCGGACCCAGCGCCCACCCAACAGCATCTGGCGCCCGACAACCGACATCCCGCACGTCCTTCTCTGGTGAAACGTCCATCAACAGTCCCTGAAGATGCTCAGGGGGAGGTACAGGCAGAAATCACTGCGCCCGTGCAGCCAGCGGAGCCCCCTCGGGGGGGTACAGTGACGCCCGAAAGCCCACAGACCATCAAGCCGCAAACTACGCCCGATCAAGCCAAGGATCAACCCCTTAGTCCGCCCATAAGTCCGCCAAACTCGCAGCCCTCCGTCGACGCAGTTACAGAACTCCCGTCGTCACATATGCGCCAATCTAGCAGCCCTGGACGCTCCGCTCATTTTTCGCAACATCTTCTAGTAGCGAATCTTCCGAGCGATCATCTCCACCAACCTCCACCAAGGTCCGTATCGCCAGCCAAATCTGCATTGAAACATCCCCGGAAAGATGGTCTCGCACCTGATTCCCAACCGGAAGCGGTGCTGCGACTAGGCCCTGCACTTAGTGAATTGTCCGATGGTACTTCTGTTGCATCCGATGATGGGTCCAAACACGAGACTCGGAAAAAGCCTGCGAAAGTCAGCTTTGATGATGAGGCAGAAGTCGTGGGTACGGCAGCAAGCCCGCCAACATCTCCCGACGAACTCATGCCTGAATCTCCGCAAGCCAAGCCTAAGAGCAAGGCTGGCTGGTTTGCCAAACGTAAGCAGAGTCTACGAACTGGAACTCCGGACGAATTCGAGCATATGCTGAAGCCTCGTCTGGCTCTTCCCTCTTTTGGCAGCATTCGGGGTAACAGAGCGGGAGGGCAACCGGAGGTGCGGCATCGCAATATGAGCGATGATGAGTCTACCGCTTCATCTGACTCACCCATTGATACCTCGAGGTTTTCCTTTTCTCATGATCAGGCCGTTGGGGCTGCGATGACCAATGCGAGCGCCGAGGAGGAGCCGCAAACGAGCGCCACGCACACCCACCCTGCTACTGCTCCTCAAAACGCTTCGGAGATGTCACATCCCATAGATCCGAGCCGACTAGCTTTTCAGGTAGATCTTCCAGACCATTTAACGAAGAGCGAAGTTCCGGCCGAAGCAACTCAACCACAAACTCCCAGACATACTTTGGCTGTTCCCGATATCACCGTACAACCAGCCTCTCCGGAACTTGAAAAAGAGCGCGCGAGCTTGGAATGGTACGAGGTTCCCGGGGGTTTTCCACGTTCCTCGTTGGAGTCGGATCCTACGCGGGCGAAGTCTAAAAGAAAGTCAATCACATGGGACGATGCAAATGTCATGGTCGATGCTGCCGCGGAGCAAGAAATTGATGACGACGAATCCGGGGAGAGCATATACAGCGATGCAGAGGAAGGTGTGCACAGCAACGGCTTTGGCTCTATTGATGCGGTTGTCGATAGTCAGCCGGGCTCCACCTCGTTCCGAGAATCAGCGGCAGGTCTTGCGCTTTCCGGCAAGAACCAGCACAATGCAGAGGAGTGGTCGGACCTGGAGTTTCCGCAGACATGCCAAATAGCGCGCGCAAGCTCTCCTGCACAAGGTGCTCCGCTCAACCCCATTCCAGAATCTCCTAGCTCTGTTCATATGGCTGCTCCGTTCTCGTCGCCTTACCCTCCTTTTGCAACGAGCTCGAAGTCCAAAAGCAAACAGGTTACAGGCCCAGCCGATCTTACACGCTCGGCCTCCCTTAACGTTAAATCCGGTGGACAACCCAACCTACACAGCCGTGCAGAGAGTACAGCGACGAGGACCACTGCCGTTCCGCAATCAAGCGCACCGCGGCAGGATATCACTCAAGAACGAACGAGGCCGATGTCCTGGAGTCCTGCTGCTGTGCAGAATGGAGCCGGCGGGAAAAGTCGTGCACCGGTAGTCAATGGCGAGGCACCTATGCCGCGGAGAACGCTCTCAAGTGGAAGCGATTCTTCGAGTAGCTTTAAACGCACCAGTCGTCCGTCTCGAGGGGATGCAAACCACACAATGCGCATGACAATGCGGGGCAACCCTCCCGTACGGCCGGCCCCGACGCGCACAATTTCTCCACCAGCTGACTCGCGTTTACGTTCGCCGCAGCTGAACAGTAGCAGTATGCGGACTACGCTCCGCATGAATGGCAATAAGCGCGAAAAGGGCACATTCTTTTCTAACAAGTCACCGAAAGGCAAGGTGACAAAGGTCCCAGGTAGCCGGTTTACTTCACGTTTCCCTGATTCGGACGATGATGAGGGCTTTGACAACTGGAGATCACGGTACCGTTATGAGGACTCGAGTGATGATGATGAACGAGGTCCAGCTCCGCTACCACCAGTCCGAGGGATTCCCCGTCGGCAAGGCGCTCATGACGGGGATTCAACAGAGCTCGAGGACAGCTCCGACGAGGAGCGGCATCCAGTCGCTTCCCGCCCGCGGGCTTCTATGCCGTCTCCCCGCAAATCGGGTCCGACACGAGACCCTGCTTTGGCAGCAGTGGCCAGGAATCGCGGTATGACAGACGAGGAGATGGATGAATTTCTTCAGCCTAATCGAGGGCGCAAGTCGAGCTTGTTACACCGGTTTAGCATCCGCAAGTCCAAATCGCCAGTCAATCGCAAGTCGTACACGAATGGTCCCCCTCGAAATGGAAGTCTTTTGGAGCGCTCGCGGGCCGATGGCGAGCAAGATCCTCCGCTACCCGGAGCTCAGTCTAACGTCGTTACCACTATCACGGCAACCAATCCTCCACCGCCTTCATCCGCCAAACTCGTCCGTCGTGCGTCACAACGATCCTCTCGCAGTGACGGTTGGCCCTTGCGGACTGAGCGTACGGAGCCCGGGGTACCGCCCACGCTTACCAGCGACGGCGCCGACGAACGCCTAGCCCCAGTCGACGAGGATGCCCGCAACGGCCGGGGCACGACACCTGCGAGCGGCTCTGCCACCAAACAAAACCAACATCCTTCGACCACAATTTCGGGATCCAAAAACGATCCTGCCACTCGCAACACCGCCGCCGACATTGTCATTGCATCGTCTGGGCGCAAAAAGCGATTTCCTCGACTTCGTAAGGCTTTTGGATTGCGCGATTGACAAAATTGACAAATCTACCTTTCGATATACATATTGACCATCTTTCGTCTTTTTCCATTTTTTGATTCATTTCGATGTACTTCGTTATAATATTCGTGGGGATCTCATCTGGGAGCCATACATATAATCATAATGCAGGCCGTGATGTGGTCAAACCATTCTTTTGCCCATGAGTCTAAGCTTCCACAGGCAGAATGAGGGGATTGGAAGCCTCCTGCTTCACTGAGTTGTGGGAGATGGGGGAAGCGGGACATTTTTTTTTCTCTCTTTTTTTTTTTTCTCTTTCTCTCTCTCTTGTATTCCTGAAGATTCATGATGGGATATACGGATTTTCTTCTCTTTTCCACCCCCGTAACATGGGACCATTGGCGCTCTGGGAGGGTCTTTGGGTGGCCCGTGGGAGGGGGTAGGTATATGGGAAACTCGAAAGGATGATCTAGGGTTTGTTGAAACTGACTGGTTGATACCCTCATTTCTGTGCCGCAATGAACACGTACCGATACCGGCGTGATATATTAATACTTGTGTGCAATATGACGAGATGATTGACTTCTGACTCCATCTATGTCTCCTTGCCTCGGAGTTTTGCATGTATGTGGCGCAGACTTAATTTCAGAATTTTAGTCGACCAGTGGTGAATGACGCGACAATCACACACAGCTCAAGTTCCTGCATCTACCCACCCCACCACTCATAGCCGGCGTAGTCCTTATAAGTTCACAATCTATTCTGGGGGGGGTTGGGGGCTGTACGGTGGGATGGATCAATGAAACCCAAAACCACAAAAGAAAAAAAATGCAGCAAAGACACAGTAAAACCCAGCCTACCGAAACGAGGGTCCAAACATGGTAGCTCGAAAACAAACACAATCCGCGAGACTTGTAAGAGCCACCATTGATTAATTTAGTTACTTATCAATCGTCAGGTTTGGGGAGGGGGGAGCCGCCTTCGTGGGATTTTGTTTTTCCTATTCGAGCAAAAGGAAGAAAGTTAGTTAGTAGCTCTCTCTCAGTCTCCATTGTCCGGCTCTTTTGGGCGAGCGTTCAATGGGGCGGATGTGGTAGTAGGCTTGGGGAGAGTATAATTATTTATTTGGTATAGGAGCGGATACAGCACGGCCGTGAAGTCATTCACCAACAGTAAGTTGAAGCAGAAGGTGTACAGTAGTACTAAATTATGGTGCTTGATATAGAAGAAAGGTTCCATTGCAGAAAACGAAGACAAGAGGTGGTGGCATGGGAGAACAAAAGCATAAGTTACTCAGCAAGACAATTAGTAACTTAGTTGATAATTGCAGTCACCCCAATCAAGACTCATTGGGTCGAGATATGTATTTCCCTCACTGATTCCCGTCCATTGTATGTGAGAAGCTTGCAGACAGCCCATCATTAACGGTAAAGGGGATACACTAACTGGCCTGGTCAAGATGCACAGCTCTCATGGTCTTCTACACCAACGCTGAACAGGGCCGAGTATGTCACGGTCTACTGGAGATGTCAAGGCTGACAGGCGATCTAGATCATGATCTACATACATTATTGCTAGATACAAGAAGGCCATGATACATCCCAGGTAAACAAATTTTCAAAAGGCCATTCCGTCATACGTAATCCATCAGATACAAGATTTAACTTCTCAGGTCATCAATGATCGTGCGCTGCGAGAAAAACAAAAAGGAAAAGGGGACCCATGGGCGGGCGGCCCGAGGCACTGTTGCTTTGCGGGAGTGACCACGGTTCCTACCACGGGAGCCATACCTAACCAAGTAAAGTCGGGGCGGCTTACAAGCGGGAAGCATGGACCACCTTGTAGTCGACGACCAACTCGCGACCACCGTCGTTGATGACCAGGGCACGGACGCTGCCACGGCCATCCTCGAACGCCTCACGGATGCGGCGGAAGAGGTGACCCTGGGGAACGACGGGCAGACCCTGCTTGACATCACCAGTCTCGGTCATGGCGACCAAGCGGCCATCATCACGGAGGTCCAGGATGCGGTAGGTCTTGTAGACAGGACCCAGCATGGTCTGGACAACAACCGAGGGAGACGGGTTGGAGACAAAGCTGGACTCCTCCTGAAGCTCACGGGTGAAGAGGTCGACACCCAGGTAGCGGTGCTGGCCGGTCTGAGGAGAGACGGAGATGCGGATCACCTGGCAGGGACGACCCTGGAGGATCAGAATGTCGCCAATGCGAATGAAGTGGACGGGAATCGGCACGGTCTCGGCGGTGGCGGAAGAGTTGCCGGCACGGGGCTCAACAATGCGAACATCCTCACGGACGCCTTCACGGTATCGAACTGGCCCGCGTTCGTCAGCGACGACTAGTTCCTCGTGGTCTTTGGGACCATGTTGGTGGTGGTGGTGGGTGGGGTGCATGATGCGGTCGGCAACGCGCTCCACACCACGACGGAAGGAGTGATAATTACCGTCGTCGTCGTAGTAGCCCATCTTGCGAGAAGGAGGGGAATCCACAACAGTCTTGGACTTGAAGACCTTAACGTTGGCTGAAGAAGCAGGAGCTTGGGAAACCGGCTCAACGCTCCGTTGACGGCGGCTGTAGGGGTCCCGTTGGTAGGTGTCGACGGGCTTGGACTGGTACGCACGGTCGTAAGAGACGTCGATCTCTGATTGGACAGTACGGTCGTACGATACGTCCCTTGTGGGCTGGCGGGGGCCTGGGGCGTAGGAGTCTACGACAGGAGCCTGGGTAGACCGGTTGTAGGCGGGATTCACGTCGTAGGTAGGGTTGTTGACCCGACGACGGTACTCACGCTCAGTGATGTCGAGCTGAGTTTGGAGAGCTTGATCGTACGTGGGCTGACGGTCTTGGAAACGGACCGACGGTTCACGATAGCTGTAGGAGGAAGAAAGGATGAGATGTCAGAATAAGATTGACAAGGGAGGGGAAGGAGATAAGAGATGATTGGGTAGGACAGGAGAAAAGAAATGAATATGGATGTATGATGAGGGAAGGGAGGGGGGAGAGGGGAGGTAATAGTCAAGGTGTGTGTGGGAAAGTATAAAAAGGCGGGTGTGGTGGAGGAGAAAAGAGGAGAAAGAGAGAGATGGGGAATGGGAAAAGAGTGGGAAAAGACGGGAAGACCCAGTCAGGTTCCCATTTGGGCAAAGGGACTTTTGGGGGTGATTGTTTGTTTTGGTGCCACGTAATAAATGAAACCCGGACGTGACAACAAAAGAAATCAGAAATAGAAAAAACAACTAAAGGTGGAGGAGGCGAACTAGAGCGTATTGGGCCAAGGAAGATTGATGATGGTGACACCGCTTCTTTGGCCTCTCCACTTGGTTTGCTTCAATCGGAGGTGTTTCTAGGCAGACAGCGGGCAGGACATATATTCCCCCCTCCCAAGAAAGAAAGAATCAATTGCAAACTATCCTTTGCAACAACTTACCGTTCACGAGTTAGATCAACCTCGGGGTACCGGGGCGGAGGAGCAGTACTAGTGGTGGTAGTAGTGACTCGCTCGTCAAAGTGGACACTGACGTCGTGAGGGCGCGAGTGCTTGTGGTGATGCTCGTGACGGGGACCGTAACGATGAGGCTCAGGCGAAGAAGCAAATTGTTCGTGCTCAACGAAGCGAAGGTCGACTTCTTCCTTTCCGTAGACACGAGGGTCGGGAAGAGGAGCAGAGGTTCGAGTATCTTCCCGTTCGACGTGCGAAGTGCGATCGAGATTGACTTCTTCCTCTACTCTGGCTGTGGCCGCGAGAGTAGCTTCAGGAACAGCGTCACTCCGGTACGACGACGGGAAGACACTGAAGGGGATGGGGACGCGGGCGTCAAAGTCCAGATTGGCTGTCCTGTGGGCGTCCTTTCTCGAATCCCTTTCGAACTGTTGAATAACAACTCGAAAGGCGAGACAAGAAAAGACTCTTTACGGGGAGAGAGAAGTCTTTCTCGTGGAGAGATGGAGGGACGGAGGGGAAGTTGATAGATCAAACTACCCGAAGTATGCGGAGAAGATTCCTGATGAGGAATGTAAAGATAAGCTTAAAAAGCTTGAGGGGATATAGGAATGTGAGAGGAAGGGGAAGAGGAGATGAGGAGGGATAGAGAAGAAAGAAGAGAGAGAGAGAGGGAGGGAAGAGGAGGAGGGAACAAACCCGCTGAAATACAATGCGGAAGTGTTTCCTCGTCACGCGTTTTGTTTACCACACCTTGCCGTTTCTGGGGGCTCGATGTTATTCCCAGACATCCCTATGAATCCTATCTAATCAGTTGCTTCCCACTGGGATTGACTTTCCAGTCTTCTCCGCCTCCTTCTTTTGCCCCAAGCCGTTCGTTTGGACTATCAAATCAATCTACAATACAATTGAGGGAGGGGTGGTGTGGATGGGAAAGGGAAGCGACCCGAGGTTCAGTACAGCGGGAAATCCTCTACAGCCCACGGTTCCTGAATCTGCGCCTCTCCAGCTTTAGCTTGCGACCATTTCTACCACGTTGATCTATATAAGGAATTTCCCCCCAAACCCAAGCCCAACGAGCGCTCATCAGCATCGATCCACTGTGCGTTTAATTGATCAAATCTCCCTCGTCGTTCACATGCAGGTCTTTTGTCTCCCCAACGCACACACCACGAGGCTGGCCAGCCACCTCCGGGTCCCCATGGCAACTGGGCCGGTTTCCCCGGGTTGCATCGGAAATCCGAGCTCCAGGGAGCTTCAGCCGATCGACGCTCCATGCGCTTGCATAGTGCGGCTAATTTACCCCTCTTCTGCTTGAAGGAGATTACATCGCCATCCCGGATTCAAGACAACTGGTCAATCGGCCGATAAATCCAAAAGAAACTCAACAACCTAATCAATACACAAGAGGTTGGAAAATCTGTGCGGCAAGAAACCTCTGTTGACAATGCAGCCAAAAAGTCAGGCTTACTGGCAGCATCAGCCTGCAGCTTGTCCCCAGTGGCCAGACCATGGTCCAGCCATCACTGTTATTCGTGGTAACCGCCCATTGGAGCATGCAGAAGCATGCAGAGAG